GGATACATGTGTGTGCTTTTCAAATGCCACTTCTTTTTTGCAAACCTTTGGTTTGACTTTTTGTTCCTGAACCGGGTTGTATTAATGTCAGTTTTTTTTAAATACAGAACACAAGAAGAACAAAGCAGGCACATGCATTCCACCCTCAGTTCAAGCATCTAAAACTCTATCAAGCATCGAAGAGTCATCGTCCAGAGGTACATTGTAGTAAGTGTTTGACCCACTGGTAGCCTCACCACACTGGTGATTTACTGGTGATTTACACTCTTCATTGACCCACCCTACTGAAACTTGTTCTGCAGTTAAAGCTCAAGAGTGATGCCACCAATGCCAAGAGATTTACCCTTTGTCTATGCCCAGAACTGCCATCTTTATCTCTAACTAGGCTGTAGGTACCTCCAGCACAATATAAATGTCATCGCCAGAGAAAGACTAGGACATGAAGTGACTGGCACAATTTCCTACAGTCATTGGAGGTGTTTGAAATATGTATAATGTAGAATAAAAAAGGCTAAATGTGTCCCTTCCTCGCAGGTGATCTGACAATGTCAGTCTAACGGCAGGTAAATCTGCACGGAGTTCATTTGCTGTGAAATCTCAAATCGAATGAGTGGCTGATTCATCTAGTAATCCGTCAGATCTAGTAAATCTACCTAGATCGACTTATGAGAAAGTCAGTTTGACGTATAAGCAGAGAATTTCTCGGGGGAAAAAAAAACAAAACTGAGCGGCTTAAATCTCTTAGGCTCTGGCAGCTCTGAGGTTGCTGCTGCTTCCAGAAAAGAACAAGGGTGCAGGACCCAGCTTCCATCTCGTCACATCTTCCAATCGGAACAGTATCGACACCCGGTTTGACTTATACAGTAGGGCTACTGTCATTAAAACTTGAAAGGATTTAAAGGCTTGCAGTCTGGAAAGCCGTGATGTGGGGGTGGTGGGCCTGTGTGTGTGTGTTTGCCTGCGGGGGTGGAGAGAATGCCTTGCACTAGATTTGAACAAAGCCCTGTAATCCTGTGGAGTGTGACAGAGGGAACCCTCATACGGCACGCCGGTCCTGCTGTCATCCATGGTGTTCCAGCCCCATGGGAATGTGTGAGGGATTAAGACAGCTCAGGGGACGCAGGGATATAGTAGTAGTCTGGGAGAAAAGCTGATCAGCGATTACCTGCCGTTCTTGTGCCGTGCCTTCACAATAATAATAATAATAATAATAATAATAATAATTGCTTACACTTATATGTTGCTTTTCTGGACACTCCACTCAAAGCGTTTTACAGGTAATGGGGATCCCCTCCACCACCACCAGTGTGCAGCCCCTCCTGGATGATGCTCCAGTCCTCTCACACACACCAGCTCTCAGTGAGGAGGAGAGCAGAGTGATGAAGCCAGTTCATAGAGGGGGATTATTAGGAGGCCATGATTGGTCAGGGCCAATGGGAAATTTGACCAGGACACCGGGGTTTACACCCCTGTAAAATCACCAAGTCTCTTACCGGAAACAACTGCTCAGAAAGGTGTCCCCCATTCTTACCATAGTTTAGCTGCTGTTCCCACGGCAGGCAAGAACAAGACTGTTTTCAGATCTCCCACCGGCTTATAGCACTTCTCGCACGTTTGCATCTGCTCCATGGACCGTGTCAAAGGGACACATCAAAAATGCATCATGGTCGCCAAAGCCCACTTCCTAGTCTACATGACAAAGAACACAACCCCCAAAAGCTGACGTCCATAGCCAGTGTGTGTTATCCCCTCTGAAATATCTCTGCTCAAAAGGAGACAGGTGGCACTGAGTGACAGATCAGGAATGGCAAGACAATTGTCCAGGAAGCGACAGAAAACTCTCAGTGGAAATGACGTAAAGTGGTCTATAAATGAGACTTCATACTCACAATTTCTTCTGATAAGAACTGTAAAGACCCTTCTTCCTGAGAACAGTCTCAGTTAATTGCACTGTGTTCCAGGGGATAATGCAATGATTTATTATTAAATCCTATATTTATAAAACATTTCAAATTCTGCTTTTGTTCTTAATTAGTATGTGAACCTGATTAAAGTGGCCAGGGGTACAGCAGACCCCAAACCATGTAAACGGACTTAATGATGCAAAGCTTTCAAAACTTCAAAATACAAATGATATGTACAGTGTGTCGCGGTCTCTCTGTCAGACACAACAACAACATTTCAGCATTTGCTAATCACTAAGATCTGGGCGCTTTCGTACGATCACGTTGATCTGCTACTTTCGTTCTAGATTTACACAACACGCAAGCAACAAAGTTCAACAGCTAAACTCCCAAAACCTTTGGGATAAAAAGAAAAATGGTTTCTTTCATGAAAGCCAGACCATGTGGTAACCAAATGTTAGTGTTATACTGCACCAAACGAGATGTAAACATAGGCCAGCACGTCTTCCTCAGGGCTAGAGGCCTGTCACAAGAGGTTTACACTTGCGTTCTTCAGCTCTTTGGCTCTTATGGCGTTCAAAGTGAAAGCAGCTCAAATTGAGGAACGGTTCCCCTTCCGGTTGCTTTTTTCACCCTCCCTCTTTGTTTAAATACCATCTTACTTCCTCAGGCCCTGGTGGACTCTCAGTCATTTCCACTGGGCAGGGCAGCCTCCTCTCCCAGTGCCCCCGAAACAGCTCTGCTCCCAGGGTGACAGACAGGCACCTCAGCTACGCCTCTTCTGTACGCCTACTGATGCTCTCCCTTGTCAACAGTTACACTGGCCAGGAAGTGATGTCATCAGGTGGAAACCCAGCTTTCATCAGGCGTTTCCACCCTTACCCATAATGCCCCGCTGCTGGCAGGTCAGGGGTGATACTGTAGCCAGTCACTGCTCATCTCCTCCCGGCCTCCAGCTTAACTCCTCTCTCCTCTTCCAGAGCCAGCCTGAGGCTCTCTCCACTGCCTCTCCCTTCGAACGGCGGTCTTTCTGTCCCTCCCAGTCAGTCCAATAGCTGTCAGCATTCTCCACGCTGTGCTATTTTGATCATTTCTCTTGCTTTACTCAGGCAACAAATACAGAACATAAACGTCTGCTGTCAGAAGTCAAGTAGTGATTTAAAGCATCGGATCCTCCTGTAAGCACGAGTTTGTTTTGATGATCTGAGCAGGAAAAACACATGGCCGCATGTAGTACAAGAAGATGGGGATTCAGGAAGGTGCAGATCGTGGGAATGCTTTTTGTCAGGGCTGAGTGCAGCAGATGATAGGTTTCAACTATCAAAGCAGCCTTTTTTATGTCATTAGGATGTAACTGGTGTACCAAGTCTCTGTAAAAGATAACCACTAATTATGACATTTATTTCTCTTGCATTGAAAATACCAGAGTTATTTATTTAGTTGCCACGTGACTGGCATTTTAAACTGCTGTAAAAAAGACCTTGCAGAGTTTCTTGGTTTAAAGTTATATGCCGGTTCACAAGTGCAATAAACTCTGGTAATTCAACTGTGCTTGCTTTTTACTGGTAAGGTTTCAACATCTGTGTCAATCTTAAACCTGCCTGACACAGGAAATGACTGCCTGGCCACAACAATAAGGCTATTGGCCCCCCAAAATGTGGAATGAGCCGAGAAGGTGCTCCGAGGGCAATGAGGGGGTGGGGGGTGAGAGGGGATGCACCCTAGAAACGTGTTGTGTTTCAGTGGCTCTGTTGCCTTATTTATTGGGGTGATGTAATTAATGGAATGCTGCAGGGGTCTGTACTAGGAGCACTGCTCTTTTTAATTCATGTAAACGATATACAGAAGATTTTGGTATCGTTGGTAAACGTGATGAGTTTGCAGATATTACCACATTCTGGGGCTTGTCAAATGCTTTAGAAGCAGCAAGAGAAATTCAAAAATATTTATATAGCCTTTTAGATTTAGATTTAAGTATAGACTTTACATACAGTAGGTTTAACCCTTTGGTCTCATGTTTCAGTTAACTTTCCAGTTAGTTAAAATACAGAATGATTTCTTTTGCTCATGTCTGCAAGTGCGTGTTCCTATATAAGAAACAAGAACATCAATCTTCATGTTATTGCCTGGTATTGCATGGGGAGACAAGTGCAACATCTCAGCATGTTGAGCTGGTACAAGGTACAAGTGTTCCACCGGAGCTTTCATCAGAACGTGAGGACAGAAATATCTCAGTGCGTCAGGGCCTCCCACATTGCTGCAGATAATTAAGCTCAAGAAGACCCTGCTGCAAATGATCAAAGATAATGAAGACATTTTTGTTTGTTTTCTTCCAGACAAAACTAGCATTATTAATTCACGTCAGTATACTGTGTGCTTGTGCCCTTGAACTTAATGTTTGCGGTTTTTGAAAACTTTTTTCAAAGGCTACCAAGTCAAACATGAACTCGGACCCTTCAAAAAGAAGCCCCCGTTTTTGCGTTTAAATATAGCAAAGAGAGAGACGTTCCCATCACAGTATGGATGTCTGGACTTGGACAGGAGTCACGGCATTCATCAGAGGCAGTCAAGCTGCCCTGCACTGCAGAGATATGGGAAAACCGCTCTCTGTGCAGAGCTAAGTGGTTCCCAGCACAACGTTCTGTCTGTCTCTTAGATCTCAGTTCTGAGACCTAAGTATTCCGGGCACTGGGAAAACAGGTCTTAGCTGAAACTGTGCAGACTTCTTGAAAATGTTGTTGGGATGTGCTGTATTTTTTTTATCAGACTACTTATGATTACCTTACCATGCCTTTATTTCCTGTCATCAAGCTAGGTCAAAAGCATTAATCATTTTAACCCTGGGAGTCTTCCGAGCGCAGTTATTTGTTCCCATGTGATTGATTCAAGGATCTGAGACGTGGGTTCCTGCCTGTCAACCTGGGGCTCCCAGTCTCAGCAGCTCTCCTTCCTGCCCACTGCCTCTGCAAAACCTGTCCTTTCTCCGAAAGTATTCATTTCCCTGCCGTTTACTTTTATTTGCTGCATCTGCTTCTCCCGCTTGTTGACGGGCCAGTCTGACATGGCGTTGTGTTGTGTTGTGCTGCCTCTCTGCAGGGGACAAGTCCACCCCATGCTGGGGAGGTTCAGTGAACTACCCTCGCTCCTGGCCGATCAAGGACTGGGGCCCGGGGGTCTGGACGGAGTCCTCCTGGACGCGGGGTGCTCTTCGATGCAGTTCGACAGCCCGCAGAGGGGCTTCTCACTCAGCAAGGACGGGCCCCTGGACATGAGAATGGACGGGGACAGGTCAGTATCTGGTGCGGAGTCTCAGATGAGTAAAAACGGTCTCCCCATCCTGTCTGCTTTTCCCATTAATTAATAATAATAATAATTGCTGGACACTCCACTCAAAGCGCTTTACGGGTAATGGGGATCCCCTCCACCACCACCAATGTGCAGCCCCACCTGGATGATGCGACGGCAGCCATAGTGCGCCAGAACGCTCCCCACACACCAGCTCTCAGTGGGGAGGAGAGCAGAGTGATAAAGCCAGTTCAGAGATGGGGGTTATTAGGAGGCCATGACTGGTAAAGGCCAAGGGGGAAATTTGCCCAGGACGCTGGGGTTACACCCCTACTCTTTTCGAGAAACGCCCTGGGATTTTTAATGACCACAGAGAGTCAGGACCTCGGTTTTACGTCTCATCCGAAGGACGGGCAGAATGTAGCCTGTCATCCTAGAACCCGATCTCCCCTTCAACCAGCGTCTATCAACTAGCTAGTTAAAACAGGATCCACACCTCCAGAAGCTCAGTTGCAGGAATGAGAATATGAGAGAGCTGCCGAAGAAAAAGAGGACACAGTGGGCTGTCCTGCCCAGTGGAATGACAGTATCTTGCCGGTCTGAACCCCTTTTTCCAAGCCGTTTTCCCAGGGAGCTGGTGTCACTTGGGTGACTTGGTCTGGATGTCCCTGCGGGTCCCAGTTTAAACATGTGCCTCCCGAAATCATACTGTGTGTGTAATAGTGATATTATGGTTCTTCGAGAAAGTTAAAGAGCTGTGCAGTACAAGACACAAGATGAGCAAACAGAAAGTGACTGACAATATCTCTGGAAAAATGCCTTGCTGAAATCAAGAGAAAGACTGCACAGGCTTTAGTGAACAGATAGGTATTTACCGTAAGCAAGGTTTAAAAGTATCAGGCGTCTCTAGTGGATTTGGGCAATGACTTCCACAGATGTCTACAGCCTGGTCTTCAGCTCCTCAGCAGATCTTAGTTTAAGAGCTCAGACTATAGTCTAGCAGTAAGTCTGAAACTAGACTGTTCAATACCTTATACATGATCGGGAGAACCTTAAAGCCTACTCTAAATTTCACAGGGAGCCACTGCATCCTACAGAGGACAGGAGTTATGTGCCAATCTCTTCTTTTAGTTAGTACACAAGCTGCTGAACTTCTCACTCTACATACCTGCTTAGTTTTGCAATGTGAATTCACTTCCTTCTTCATTACCACGTTTGTCTTAGGGTTCTTGTTTCAATGCTGAGTATGAGGTTGCCTATAGGTCTGGGGAAAAGACAGAGACACACAAGGCTGGAAGAAACTAGTTTCTCCAAGCGAGGAGTCAGTTTCAGAATCGGAAACCCATTCCATTTGAGCAACCCCTGCTAACCTAAATTCTGTTTCCAGACGGGGTTGTTTCTTGTTACGAATGTGCTGTTTTTGTTTTGGGTTGTTTTTTTTTGCACACACGCACAGCAGATTCAAATTGTGGAGGGACGGGAAAATAAATCCTGGATGATATTAGAATATCCCAGAGTAGTATTTAAGAAACCGGGTTCCTGCACAACTCAGCTTCATGGAAGAAAAATAAGGGTCTGCATTATGAGCAGACACCATGGCGATGCCATTAACTAATGCACACTTCCTCTGGCACGCTTCCTCTAAAGTATGTTGTGGAAAGGGAATGCTTTTTGACAGCTACTATAAGATACTATATTACTTTTATTGAAGAGTTTCATCAAAGGGATATTTTAAGCCTCCCCACTAAGGCCTCTCAGATACAGAGGTGCTACGTCTTGCCTGCTATTCCAATTAGGCAGAAAGTAACCCCTTGTCCTAAACCTGATCTATCCTTTGACCAGACTCTTAGCTTTTAAGTCTGTAAAGCAGGTTCCTGGTATAAAAGACAAACAGGTTGCACTTGAGAAGTGTGTAGGAGTAACAAAGAATTGCCATTATTCAGAGTCTTCACCTGGGGTTTGGATGTCAGAGGAGGGGAGGCCACAGTTTGATTTAAAATATGACTAAACAGATTGAAAAATTAGAGAATGGCAGGCAGTTTAACAACATGGCAGGCTGATTTTCTCATCACTGGGAAGGCTGGACTTTTTTCTGCAGTCTTGACGCTTTTCCAGCTACGTGAGAATCTGGTACAAGGCTCAGGGATACAGAGGCTCCAGAGACATTTAATTTTGGTCCGTTTTTAAGATTTTAGGGCATGCTTTCCAATGTTCTTCTATTAATTATGCATCGGTTTTACCAAAGCACGAATATTCAAAAATTAAAAAAAAGTCTGCAGTACATATACATCATATTGATTATATCACGATCTACTAATAGAATATAATAAATAGTATAGTATGAATTTTATAGACTGCCCTCACTTTTTCCATCATTCAAGTGTTTCTAAAAGAAGGAAAAACTGTGTGCAAAAACTGCCTGCTAAGCTAATTTCCGCAAAAAATGTATATAGTTCTCACGGAAGCACAATGGACCTTGCGCAGTTAACTCCATAAAAACGAAATTGAAGTTGAAGCTAAGCACCCATCTAGCTAATAGACGTCCATGTGGTTTTAAAGCAGGACCAGGTGATTTGTCATGGCTTTCCTGCTAGTGCAAAACCATAGCAGAAGGTGGCTGATGACCCTAATGTATACCTGCTACAAGATCTTTATTAACCAATGGCACGGGCCAGCCGCAGGCTGAGAATGCCTGAACCACAGACCTCTCGGCTCTCCATTCAGGCTCTGACAACATAAGAAAAGGTTACAAACGAGTGAAAGGCATTCAGCCGAGCTTGCCCATTTGGTAGTTGGCAGCCTTTGCGATTTCCCATACGGCATTAATAAAGTATCTATCTAGCTATCGATTCAAGGCTCTCAACCAGCCAGTACTTGAAACAAGCCAGGGTATTGACTTAAACCCTGGGTAGCTTGTTCCAGTCTCCTGCAACCCTCTGGCTAGAGACGCACCCCCTGTTCTCAAGATTTAAATGTAATTCCACTCAGTTTTCTGCTCGTGTCCTCTGGTTCATTTTTCACAATTTATTCTAAAAAATAGTGATTCTATTTATCACCCTGCAACTCCCAGCTGGCAGTCCCACTGGAGCTCAGCAGGTGTGAGCCTGGTCAGTACCTGGATGGGAGACTCCTGGGAAAGCTGAGGCTGCTGCTGGAAGAGGTGTTAGTGGGGCCAGTAGGGGGCGCTCACCCTGCGGTCTGTGTGGGCCCTAATGCCCCGGTATAGTGACAGTATACTGTAAAAAGGTGCTGTCCTTCAGATGAGACAGAAAACGAGGTCCTGACTCTCTGTGGTCATTACAAATCCCAGGGCGTTTCTCCAAAAGAGTAGGGGTGTAACCCCGGAGTCCTGGCCAAAATTCCCCCTGGCCTTTACCGATCATGGCCTCTTAATAACCCCCATCTCTGAACTGGCTTCAATACTCTGTCCTCCTCCCCACTGAGAGCTGGTGTGTGTGAGAGGACTGGTGGGGCTGCACACTGGTGGTGGTGGGAGGGGATCCCCATTACCTGTAAAGCGCTCTGAGTGGAGTGTCCAGAAAAGCGCTATATAAGTGTAAGCAATTAAATTATTCTAAAGCAATCCATTTGGTTGGCTACCTTTCGGGGTTGAATACGTGTATCAAGTTCCTTTGTCATCCTGTTTGTTCACGACTAAGTAAAAAGGGTTAAAAACGGTCTTGAGCACCCACAGGATTGAGGTCTCCCTGCTTACTCCCTGAAACCCACAACTAAAAATGCTTGGGTATATAAATTTCAGACTACTCCAAATCATGGAAAGCAGGTAAATAACTAAACTGGCGGTGGAGCCTTCAACAGTTTGCAAGTGCTACAGTGCCCATTTTAAATCCAGCATGACCATATTGTTTAAAAGAAAATAAAGCATCCTGACAGATTCAATCCTGGTCCTATCTGAGCACGTCCATTCACATGACCGCCAGACCTATCGTGGAAACAGGCTTGAGACCGGGTCTTCCTGTACAGAGAAGAGCGCTGCTGAAGCCCACGTGCAGCAGGGGCTCCTGGGAATTTATTTGGCAAAGGCTTCTCTCTCGAAGGTCGCGAATCATCGTCACGCCAATCTAACTCCCACCCTCTGGGAGAAGGATGACAATTAGCCACAGATGTGTCTCTCCACCATCGTTGTCACTAAAACAACAAGAGGACACTTCTTCAGCCCCAGAGCTCGGAGGAGAGGGGTCTGAAAGCAAAACGAAGAGAAGAAACCGCCTCCGCCCCCCACAGACTCTAACCACTGCATTCCTCAGCATGCTAAAATCCGATTTGATGTCTGTTCTATCTCTTGTCTTCTTTCTGGTCTTGTTCTATTTGCGCCGATGTTTTTTTTTATTCCCAAAAATTGGATGGTTCCGTGTCTTTAAAATAGCTGCTGTTGCTACACGGATTTTACCACCACAGGATGGGAAAAAAAGGACTTTTTCATTGTTGCCATTTTTGGTTTTGTGAAGACTATTTTGGGAGTGCAGTAAAATAGAACTCCCCCTTACTGATTTTAAGCTCCGCCAGATACCTTATTGCGAGGATACTTATGTATTTATATATGATTTATATATATATACATTCACAGCTTGTTCGTTTGTGCATTCTTTTTTGCTTGTTTTCTATTTTAAGACCTCAAACACACAACTTGCAGGCATCAAGTTTTAGCTGTGTGCCTAAGCGCTGTGAAGCTTCATGCTTGTCAATGAAAAACTGATGTCAACAAACTAATTGGGTCCTTCTTTGTGCGTAGGTACCTTGACATGCCCACTGCTGCTGACGTAGTGAATGCTTTAGATCAACAGGCGCTTGCGTCCATCCTGTGTACATATGGGGAGGAGAAACATGCCAGGAAGATAGCTTCAGCGATCGTTGAGGCACGCAGCATCTACCCCATCACCAGAACACAGCAGCTTGCCAGCGTTGTTGCAGGTACCCTCATTAATTCCATACGGTGTCTCAGAGCAAAAAAAAAATATTAATCCCGTCTCTCCCACTGGGATCTATTTGTACAGGAAGTCAAGCAGCATCTAATCCTGCCTATCATCCGTAGATCTCAGCCCTTTGTTTTTCTTGGGTCTGCCTACTGATGAGGTTATTATTAATAAAAGGGGAGGGAGGAGATGGTCGGATTGTTTTTTGTAGTCGTACTTTTACCCTCCTTGCTCCCCTCCTTGTCTCCAGGTAGATCACCGAAATAAACGCTGTTGTAAACCACCCCCCCCCACACTCCCCACCTAACTGCCCCCTCCTCATGAGGGTGGATGTGGCGAGCCTGCGCACATTCCCTCAGGGAGCTGGGATAGGAGTGTTGGGGGACTGGTTAAGGAGCAGAAGTCCATGTCGATTCCGATCCCAATCAATCTCTTGCGCCCGTGCTGCTCAGAGCCCCAGATTCGATACCGCTCAATACCTTAGCTAGGGATAGGCAGGGAAGGGAATGTTGCTCCTCCTTCGTCTTTGTGATCATCAGATCCCTTAACGAAGGCGTCGGGGGAGCCGATTTGCTTCAGATGAATGATTTGTATGTGATTTGTATGAACCGCAACACAATAAAACCAGAAGTAATTCAAGCAGGGAGCTGCGTCAGCTGCAAAGGAACAAGTACAGGTCTATTCCCTGCTGAAAAGAGAAGGAAAGAAACACAATGTTTCGTCTGTGGAGCCTTCTTCGGGTGGGGCCTTGTCAGGTATTTCAGCAGATGGCGAGCCCTTTACTTATTTATTATAAGGACTGTTTTATATTAAGTGCACGTAGATACAAATATAATGTACAGTACAAGCAAGCTCATTTAGTCATTTAGCACAACAGCTGAAACCCCTTGGCATTGATCACCGCTGGCCTGTCACTGGTCTTCCACTGTGGCACAGCACAGGGACAGCAGGAACGTCAGGGTCCGACTCGGAAAGGGTCTGGCTTCAGCACAAAGCTGCGAGAGCCAGAGGTAGAGGCGAGCAGTACCTGCAGTTGACTGGGTGTTAAGGAGAGTTTGTGAGGAGCTGCCCATAAGATGAGATCACTTTATTGGCCAGATACGATTTCTTGCATTAGGAATTTGTCTTTTCGCAGACCCCAGCTTGCTCCCCATGAGACACACAGACAGGGAGAGAAGCTGGGGGTCAGAGCGCAGGGTCAGCCATTTATACAGCACCCCTAGAGCAGCTGGGGTGAAGGGCCTTGCTCAGGGGCCCAACGTAGTAGGATTCCTCTGCAGGCTGCCAGATACAAACCGGCAACCTTCCAGCCACAGGCGCAGATCCTGAGCCACAGAGCCTCCGCACCACATCACATCACTCAGTGTGCAGGGCAACTGAAGATATGCTTTTGGCTCATAACTCCTGATTTCACTTTCCATATAAATGTCTGGCTATTATATTATCTACAATATACCTATAGAAAAAGAATGAGAACAAAGATGTTTGGTTTATTGCAGCTTATTTATTGTTCACACATCATTCTTATTGTCTCCCTCCTTGGTGTTCTGCACATTCACTAAATGGAGTGCAGTCATTTTAGCTGTTTCTCTGCATGTTTATGGATTAGACAGGACGTGTGTTTCATCTGTGTGTGTTATTTGGCAGCTGTACTATGCTCGTTCTACAGCAGAATGTGAATCCTGCCCTTTGGTAATGGTGATTGATGCCTTGGCGATTTGTTTTGGAAATGATTTTGGTTTGCCTGGGCGGAGGGGAGTGTGCATGTTGGAGCCAAGGGTCCCTAATTTACCCCACTTTTCCGACGGGAAATTCAGTCTTTTGGCAGCTATCAATAAAGTATCCTCATCAATGTCAGGCCATTACAGAGTAAACAAAACAATGGCACGTTGAAACTGCGACTCGGCAGCAACAGACACTGGTCAAACGCACAGCAAAGTTTGGATGGGGCACTTATGACTCATAGCTTTTAATTGCTACTGCTTTCAACATTGAATAGCCTCTCCTGTCATTTTTCAAACCCCTAGAGTTCAGGATGCCTCACACTACACAAATTTGAGCTTTCTATTCTGAAAAGGTTGAAATGTACACATCAGTGCAGCTCTACGTGTGTCATTAGAACTTTGGGATATGACATTTCGGAGCTATAGGAGGCTTTGAGGAAGATAGTAGTCAGACACGGTGTGTTGTTGTTGTCTGCATTGCATTTTCCATTTATTTCCTGTCTGTGTAGTTATGACCACTGTCTATCCCAGAATCCTTCACGATCCTTGGTTAGTTGCCAGTTCTAAGCATCTTCTGTTTCTTTAAAATGATGTGTTTTTTTAATGATAAATGGGTTGACCTCAGTTTGAGAGTACCAAGGAAAGGACAAAAAATCATTTTGGGGGGGAAAATCTTTAGTGTTTACAAGCTAACAGTGTGTCAGGATTTCTGGCATTCACAACAAAAGGGAAAGTCATAGTCTTTTCAACAAATTTATAAACATGTCATGGGGACTCTGCTGATTTCTCTCTTACCACACAATACAGTAGTTTATCCCAAAAAGTGACACTGCAAAACTTCACTGTCCCTGGGATATACTCATGAAATTTTTATTTGTATTTTTGCCACCCTTTTCCAGAAATTAGAATTACAAACCCCTAATGTTATCAAATGAAACAAAATCAACTTTTAAATTATTATCCTGAACGTTTTGTGTTACCTTCAATTGTCTTCCACCTTTATCTTATTAGGAAAAAAAAACTGGTGGTAACTTTTCATGCCTGTACATTTCTGAATGATGGTTTTGCTACACCGGTTTCTCATTTAAAACCAGCAGCTCAGCCAAGGCTAAGGCTAAAAAAATTGTCTAAAAAAATAAATAGGAAATGAAATATTAGGAAATATTAAATAGGAAATATTAAAAGAATAAACAATGAAATCTTTTGGACTGGACTCAAAATGTCCTGGATGTCCAATATGTGTCTGCATACACTTACGTAAAGTAGTTTGTATTAGAACTGGTTCAGCACTTGTATAAATTGGTTCTCAGGTTATTCCTCTGGTACAGTAAGAAATAAAAGGGAACAGGCTTATTCCAAAAAATAATTGTTAAAACAACACTCATTTTCTTTAGGATCCCAAGAGGCTAACAGGGACTACATGAGAGAACTCTATGCCTCTTCTAATTTATTTAACTCTGAAAGATTTGTGTGGGACAGCTTACAAATACAGACCCAGGGTCTGGTAGTAAAAGTGGAACTATGTAAAAGTGTGCAGTTCATCCTGGAAAATTAGTCCGGTGCTTTATGTAAATTGCATCATAAGAAACTTAAACTGCTGCATACAGTACGGTGCAACTTACTCCTTACAGGCAAACAAAGTAAAATACAGTAGAAATTCTAACACTGTGATGATCATTGATTTTAAATATACTTCAGATTACATTACAAAATTACAACAGGAAAACGTACTGAGGAAGTCATAGTTCATTATGAATGCTGCTTGTTGGGAGAGGATTACAGACAGCAGCACAATAATGCTTTCCGATCACTGTTGCTGCTCTCATTTATGTCATAGTAAATCCATTACCCCACAGAACTGCAGAAATGAAATACAAATAATATTGCAGAAAATGAAGCAATATCCTAGTACAATAAAAACCCATTATCCAATTATACTTACAGCATGCATACAATACCATAGTGTGCATATAGCAAAGTCAACAGTAATTTAGAGCGTCTTAATCTCTGTCTTGTAGAGCCATCAGTCAAAAAGATCCACATGTGACATTTTAATGTACACTTCAGACAGAGCTCTCCAGGTTAAAAAGGAATGGTATCATCAGAACGTTATCATTTGGTGCCTCCTTCTGGAAATAAGGTATTTTTAATCCTTCTTTACTTGTCTGTCATTCTTCAGAACTGCGAGGGCATGAATGCAAGGTTCTAATTCACAGAAGTACCCAGAGAATTCCCCCCTGGTGTGTAATATCTAAGCAAATAAGGAAAAAGGAAAAACCACCCCGTCCGGGAGACAGGGAGACTGCTGAGTTACTGCATTGTTTCAGGTTCTAAGTAAGAACTTGAGACTGTTCGTAATTAGGCCTTGACATATCAGAAATATTAATTTTTTCTTATTCCAAAATGCAAACACTGTTGCTCTTGATTCTGAATATATGATGTTTCTTTTTAAATATTATCCAGGATGTCCAAGTGCCCAAGAACTTCTTGCAGGTTCAATCACACAATTCAGTTTCACTGCATACATTTGTACAGTAGCCCTGCGTGTGGTAAACAGTAACAGCATTTCTCCTTGCGTGTCCATTGGTACTGAGATATAGTGCAAGCCAGCTGTGGGTAATAGGATATTTTGGAATGTTTTTGGAACACTTTGAAGGGTTCTGTCTGATCATTGCTAAAGGGTGAGTTTGGGAGAAGGTGGCTCTAGTGAAATAAAAGTGAAATTGAGAAAGGTCTTGTGAGATAAAGGCTTTTCAGCACAAAAGACAGGCTCTTCTCCTGGGATAACAGCTGTGACAGATGCACATGTTGGATAATATTGTATTACGTACTCTGTCATAATTTTGTGCAAGTCCACCCTGTGTTACCTGCCCACTTCACCAACTCTTTCCTTCGTCAGTTCTGTGTCTTACTATTTACACATACATCTTGTACTGAGATGCTCCTCTTCCTGGAACAGTGAAGGCAAGAGAGTGGGTTTTGTTGTCTTGGGGCCTATTCATCAACCAGGCCTCAAATTGTTGCTATTGACGACAATTACCCTACTCTGTTGCAGCAAAAACCATGTGGTCCCAAAGGACCTGTCTGCTGCCTCTTTTCATCCCCGGCTGTAAGTAATGATTTCTCTTCATTGTGTGGATGAAACATTCTGTGGATTGCACAAATGAAGATTAAGCCTTCAGCGCACACCAAAAAAGAAAATAAAACAATATCCGCAACAGGAGCAACTTTTAGTTCCAAAGGCCTAAGGTGGTTTATACTTCAGTCTGCTTTTGCCAATATCTTTAATACACATAAAGGGAATAAAAATGAGAAGTGAGGCCTGGAAATAAAAGTTTGAAATGAATTAATACCCCTTTATAAATAGCAGAAAACATCTATCCGCTTGCATCCAATTCCGGTTTTGAAAACCTGGACTCCCTTTAAAAAACATTTGAAGATTTCCTGGCCCCTTAATGTGCATCAGACATTTGTACTGCGTCAGTGACTCTCTCTTTTTGCTGTCTGTTCCACCTTTAAGTTCTCACAAGAGAATGAAAATTAGCTTCGCAGTCTGTAGGAGTTATACCGTGTATGCAATATAGTATCTGTATGTAGGCATGCACATTTGTTTGTACATCTGTACAGTACAGTATGTACTGTATCTGTATGTGTGCAGACATGTATGTACTGTATCCTATTGTGTGCACACATGTATGTACTGTGTATAACGTATCTGTATGTGTGCACACATGTATGTACGAGCATCACTTCTAAAGCTGAGAAAACTACAGTATTTGTAACACCCAGCCAGGAATATCCCCCTGTCTTGTCCAATAAATCATTTGAGGCAAAATTGGAAACGATGCAAGCTTCCTATAGCAGTACCAGTAGCAACCTCATTATTTAATTTACCCGTTATTTAAGGGTAAATTAAGCAAGGCTCAGAGTCCCCAATTCTTTTGTTTTTTGTAAGGGAGAAGGCAATTAATTGAAATCCCCGGAAATTAGAAATACGGTAAAAAGCTTGAGTTGTGCGGCAGGATATACTGTAGTTTCGTCTCCCCTGACGTCCGGACAGAGGCATCATTAAGAGCTTCCTCTGCAGCAATCCTGTTAGTGTTTACGGTCGCGTTTACTGATTCCTTCCTACGGCTGGCAGGATAGGGGGGACCCCTCACTGTCACCCCCCTTTTGGGGGGGGGGGAGGGGCCCCACGCTTGTGCCTGCTGCGGCGCGAAACGAGACCCCCCCTGCAGTTTACGGGTGCGGGCCGTGCCGGCACAGTCGGGGGGGGGGTGGCCCCACTTGGACACCCTCCTTGGAGGCAATGCAGGGCAGTCAGCCAAGGAACGGGATTGCGGTCAGTAAACGGCCAAGTACTGTTTCAACCGGGAGGCAGACATCCCCTTAATGACTTGTAAGTGAAAGCTGAGTAACTTTCGAGGACATTTATCGTAATGTCTCTTATATGTTTAACATAAATGGGGCTCTAGAGAGCAACGCAGAGATAAATCGGGCCTGTGGTACTGAAATGGAAAGAGTGTCCACTCTTCACTCTTCAGTAATGCACTCCATCTAAAAATAAAACCACGCCATGAGGAGAACTCCTGCCAGAGCACTGTGTAAGATGTTGTGCTGAGAATGGTTCTGCTGCCTTTTGCTCCAGCCTGACTTGGTTGGTTCTTTGAGAAGTAAGAAATGGATGTTTCTGTGCTGTCGAACGACAGTTACTGGGCCGATCCAGGGATGTCCTGTGCTGTTGCATTGATTTCAATGTGTCAGATATCAACGTACTTTGGGAGACATGAAAGTCATCGCTGCACACCGGTAATCAATCAGTTCGGGTCATGCTGGGACCATGGAACATCTCTAATCTCTCTTTAATTTATCTCCTGTGTGCCTGCAGTGTGGTAAGCACATTCTGCCTTCCACACCAACTCAAGAGTCATCAGATGCACAGAAGTGCCAGGTCTGTTTCTTTTCCGTGGCGAAATGCCAGCGAAGTGGTGTATTTTCAGAAGTCTGTATTTTCACAAATGATTTTCCTAAATTAAGAGAGAAATGTGAGTTTACGTCATACATACACTTTCAGGCCCACAAGTTTGAATGCTTAGCTGTAAATCATACACTAACAAAGCAGCAGAGTTTTTTTTTTAGCTTGATATATAGAATTCATTGATTCAGTAAGTAAAGGACCAATACTACTAGGACTTTCAAATATGAAATTATGAAATGCCTAATACCACTGAGCTATTCCAACAGCTGCTTTTGATTCCTTGGCAACATATCACTATAACATACCTTTCAAGTTCATCCCACAAGAATAGTGACCAGTGATTAGGAAAAAAGTATGGTTTAAGAAGACCCACTCTTTCTCCTGGCCCATCATATGGAAGTCAGACATTAGACATTTATATCAGTGATTTATAGCATCCAACTTTTGTGTTTTATTAATTTCAAACAGGTGGTTCTAAGTTCAAGACTATGAGGGGACCAGATTTAAGTGTTAAAAATCCTCAAAGGCATTGACAAAGTTAACACCGAATCCTCAGAATTAACAGTGAAAGAGGCATGTCTTTACACAAAGGATGGTGGGAGTTTGGAACAAGCCCTGAATACCCTGCTTACTTTCAAGAAATGTCGGGCTCCTTGGATCAAGTATCTGCTGGCAAACAGGTGGATGGAGTCCTCTCATTTGTAAACCTTTTTGTCTAGTTCAGAGAATTTCAAAATTCCTTACGCTGTGTCACTAAGAAACTCAATTTGACACACAGACATTGTAGTAATGACTGTTAAACTGAGAACATATACTGTACAGTTTCAGTGAAACAGGTCAGGAAGGATCATTCACATCGTTGCGAGGCCTGGACATTTAAAATCGAATGAAAGGGCACGTGGTTAATGTTGAATATGTATTCAGAAGGATGGTTCCATTTCTTATTGATTCAATGACTCACACAGACTCGGCGAGTGCTCCAGAAGATTAGAATTGCACTCTGGCGCACGGACAATGAAATTCAGGCTGAATTCTGCATGAAGATTGGGAGGTGCTGAAATTTCAAGAGAAGCTGTCTTGTGCTGCGTGGACTGTTGTGGACGAGACCGGAGAAAGTCTTTTCATCAGATGAAGCAGTGCTCTCTGCACAGATCTGAACATGATTAAATAACATGCTCTTCGCAGGACACAAAGCTACTTTAAGAGACTAAGAAGGGCTGCTTTGCTGTAACAATCAGAAAGATACTAACACTTTAGTGGAAGATATGAAACAACAGTGGTACACTACTCTGAGACGTGTGTACTACCAATATATTGTTTGACGGACTGAATTTTTGAGCAAGTGGGTTTGGAATGCTCTTTGATTGCATACAATAATACCACTGAAGGATCTATTTTAAAATGATTTGTGTACGTGGGACTGACTTTATCTGGCTTAGATGACCCATGACAAAGTAGAGTGTTCAGCACAAAGCTGTGACACATCACTTTACTACAAAATAGAAATATATATATACACACACACCCCTATTCTAATGTCTTAGTCAGCACAGGGCTTTGTTCTGTAGGACTTCTTTGTGACCACAGACTGGTAAATCTGAGTTGGAGTTGTGGAGGAGTAAAGTCGAATATCTTGAAGCATGCTCACTCGACCACTCGAGATCAGCACTGCTTTTTGCTGAGCCTTTGTTTGGCAGAAGCCTGTGATGGACAGAGCTGTGGGTAATTTTCCATCGGCTTCGCTGGCAGTTTTGTACTTTCAAGAAACTAAAACAGATTTAAATAAACAAGCATGAATCCTGCACTGCTACGACATACAGTAAATAGTTAATTGCGTTTAGATTATACTTTTCATCCCAAAGGACTTTACCTATAAGAGGGGGATCACTTCATCCGCCTGGGTGACGCAGAGCAGTAGTTGGGTGCCTGCAGCCCCACTGCACAGCAGACTGGACAGAGGACTGAGATATTACTTCCCCAGCTGAATTAAGGTGGAGCATTAAGGAGAGCAGATTGTACAAAGCCAGAGCAGAACGAAGCCAATTCACCGTAGTTGCTGTAACAACCTTCTCTTACGGTCAGTCCCCCATACAGGGGCACTGGTGTGGGAATTCTGGACCAAAGAAAACCACACCGGTTATTGGTCCATTATCACCACTTACAAGAGCAACCTGGGGTCACCCATCCCAGGACTGACCAGGATTTTTAATGACGGCAGAGAGTCAGGACCTCGGTTTTACGTCTCATCCGAAGGAAGGCGCCTTTTTACAGTACAGTGTCCCCGTCACTATACTGGGGCATTAGGACCCACACCGACCGCAGGGTGAGCGCCCCCTGCTGGTCCCACCAACACCTCTTCCAGCAGCAACCTTAGTTTTTCCCAGGAGGTCTCCCATCCAGGTACTGATCTTATCTTCTGCATCTCCAGGTGCCTTCCCTGCTGCCGCCCTCTACGCCAGGAAGGACCTGCTGCAGCGGCCTGCCCACGTCGCCACCAAGACCTTCCAGGCCCTGCGCATCTTCGTGAACGACGAGCTCCACGAGCTGCACGCCGGCCTGCAGGCGGCCCGCGCCTTCCTGCGGCCGGGGGGCCGCCTGGCGGTCCTCACCTTCCACTCCCTGGAGGACCGCCTCGCCAAGCGCTTCCTGCGCGGAGAGGACGTGGCCGGGCCCCGGAGTCGCAGCGTCCGCCAGAAGATCCGGCAGGGGGGCAGGGAGGCCGGGGAGCAGGAGGAGGAGGAGGAGGAAGAAGAGGAGCCCACCAGGGCGGGCGGCTGGTCTCAGCTGCAGAAGAAGGTGATGACTCCCCGGCCTCAAGACGTGGAGGAGAACCCACGCGGGCGTTCGGCCAAACTCAGAGCAGCCCAGAAACTGTGAGCCCAGGGCCAGAAACGGCTCTGACGAACCAAGCGGTCAAGAGGCAGGCTGGGAATGGGACAACTGCGGTCAAGCAGTCAGCTTGGGTGGCGGCAGTAGCGTTCAGCACACATGGCCACATCCCTATGGCCTGCACACTCACTGAGTTGGGTCTTAAATGTCAGACTCTAGATCCGTTAGCTGCTAGTGAGCCAGTACTGCGCCTGCTTAGAGCATCACAAGCACACAGTCAATCAAACATTTTTTTTTAATAAAAGATCAAGAGCAGATATGTTTCCCTTGTGTCTAGAGTGGTTTCAAGGGACAGAGGGCGATGATACAAAAATGTTTGTTTCCGTCATCAGATCTGGTCTTTTAATTGTCCAGTTTGATTCTCAAACTTCTCTGTGTGCGTCTGAATCATGGATCTGTGGGTAAAGAGTGGGAGAGATGCTGCAATGGTTAACACTTTCTTCCTGCTACACTTGGTTTAATACTGTATATGTATTCTTTTTTTTTCAGTAGTAAGTCTGTAAAACTTTGTGGCCTGCTGAATCATTTAAGACCTGTTCCCCTCTTAGCATATAAAATTTATTCTATCAGTGCTGCAATGGTTTAGTGCACCACTAAACATCCGCTGTGACTTAGATACCCTGAAGATGTCGCAAGTCAAGGGGTGATTCACGTGCAAACACAGTATAGAAATTAAGCTTTTGAATTTGTCCGAGATAGGGGGACAAATTTTTAAATCTAATTCCCTCATCATCATGCCTGTCATTTTCTGACTTCATTAATCACCACGATTGATATAAAACGTTCATATGTAACAAGCACGCTTCCTCAGTGAATGGGAAAGCACCACAGCAGTAACCAAAAAGTGGCTTTTATAATCAGAGACCCAGTCGCTGCAAACGGATGGTGTTGGATTTGGACAAAACATTTGTTTCTAATTACCAAACCTGCAGGACTGCTATGTAGTGCTGTGCACCATGATTGAAATAGTTTTGCTCAGTTCGGCTTATTTTATTTTTCCTTTCTCTCAGCAACTCATAAAGGTAATGGCGGTTCTCAAACCCTTGAAAGGCTTCAAAGAAACACAAAGGGAAAGCCCTTCCAAACATCCCAGGAATGAACTGATGTGCAGTGGGTGAAAAACCCGTACAGGAGCTGAGACTGGACAGCACACAGGGTGCTGAATTTCTTTGTGGTCCTGCGTATGCACCAGAAATCTTATGTTGTCTGGATTTGTCATTTCGGAGACAAACTTCACAAAGCCCATCTCGCTAACTCAGGCGAAGTCCTGGAAGAATCCCCTGTCTGAATCATACTCGAGAGTTTCTGAAGGAACGTGAGATCTGTCCAGGTGAATCGGTGCACCAGTGTGAAATGAATCTAAAAATCAGTCTAAAATTAATGAGCAGAGCACCTGAGTGAAGCTGCTGCCCAGTAATGCACCTTTCACACACCCTCATATAATCTTAAAAGCATGCCTGGCACCAGAAGAAGCATTCCTGTTCCAAACTGCTCTGTTTTGTTTCGACATGTCAGAGTGGTGCTGTAGTGAACAGTGCACCTGCTCTCGAGTTCTGCCGTGCCAACTGGGTCATTTAAAGTTTTTCTAATCATTGCACCAGCTTCATTAATTGGATGAATCTGATGCTGACAGAGATGAGCTTGTTATAAGATCATTCGCACCATGATATTATAGCATTCTCGGGTTTGGAAAGGCTTTTTATAAATAAAAGTCATCATCATCATCATCGTCATTATTATTATTATTATTTGGTGGCTTACTGATCTCCATTTGTTAAGCTGCTTTGAACATCACCTTTAAACACAAAGACTGCTTCCGGGGAAAACCTAAGTTTGTACAACTAATCACAGGCCATGAGAATCTTCCATACAAGTGATAATGCCAAACAACAGTTCTGGTGACTGCTAATACCAAACAAAAATGATTATAAGCAGAACAGCCTAAGAATTTATTTTTCTAAGCCAGCGTCTCCATGGATTTAGCTCAAATGGAGTTTTCTTTTAAGGAAAGACAAACATGTGCATCAAAACCTCAATGCATGCAAAAGTGCGAGGATTAAAGCATTACTGTTATTAAAGTCAACTGTTAGATGGGTTTTAAGGAAGTTTGCAAACTATCGCTTTGCTTAAGTCTCACATTTCCTCTGCTGTTCAGCGAGGTGGCATCGTATTTCAGATTGAGTTTCTCATTCTCAAAAAACACCCCGTTGTAAAATTGCAGACTCCCAGTCGTGATGAAACTGCATTCTGTATTTTATCCTCATGGTTCACCAGGTGAAGCAGAAATGTACCTGAATCCTTCATGCTCTGTGCTTTACTGGTTTTCATTTTTTTGTGTTTTTCACAGTACCAGTGTTCATCATATATTTCCATTGTTATGCAACCTTGTGCAAAAAGACATTTATCGTATACGCAGATAAACAGAGGGGAGTGTTTGTGTTCCAGTTTTACATAAAGCAATTAGTTGTAAGCAGTAAATCATGCAGTCGTTTCTAAGTAGCAAATGGTGCATTAATAATACAGGCAAACAGAAATGTTTGAACCACCAGGACAAATAAACAGCAACAATAATGCTCTGTGAGGATTTGTCAACAACAACAACAGCGGAATCAACAGAAACAACACCAAACCAATAAAGCAAAAAATGTATACAGTATACACTGGAAGCTGCTGTACTGTTCAAATGAACAGTGCAACCAGTAACGTGTGTTGCATTTTTAGTGTTCCTCAGTATATTTACTGTGTAGAACTATCTGAGTAGGATGTGCTAGGACATTATAGGAGCAGAGCAGGAAAGCAGTGTGCTTTTGGTGGCCAGACACATTACGTGTTGGTAAAATATATGAGCTCATCACGATTCTGAGGCTTGGAATCTGAATTGACAGGCAAAGAAGGGGTGATGTGTTACAGACACAGAAGAAGTGTGAAACCCAAGAGGAAGAAATTGAAGATATGTTACGTTCTTATGTTCATAATGTAGAGTCAGGTGGAGCCTTCGGTCTTGACAGGGGAAGGTTAGCCAGAACTACACGCCCTTTTGAACAGGATCTCTCATGAAGGAGTCTTCCCAAGGAGGAGTGCAGTTACAAGCTCTTCGCTCCGTCAATAATTAACCAGCAGCTTGTATTTATGGTTTGTAATTTTAACCAAGAAGGATTTCAGCCTATTCTTTGGGAATGCTGCCGCCAGCCGGCTGTCAGACAAGATGTTAAACTTCAACTGGCTGACTGGCGCTCCACGTGAATTTCAAATAAACAAATTTGTTAAATAAGACATATCCAAGGGATGCATTCTCATCACTCTCGATCTAAATGAGAGTACATTTTTGTTGTAAATGAAGCTTCTGTTTCCCCCTCCCTGATCTCTCTTAGTTTTCCCTTCAGACCTGCGGGGTTTATGACTTGTGATAGGAATCAGAATTATATGTAGACAATAAATTATTAAAAGCTACAAATTCAATTTAATATGACGTGCTTAATTGTCTCTCAACAATTATTAGTGCAAGTATTTAAGGATTAAAAGAAAAGAGTGCAAAGTCTATTGATGTGTTTTGTTTTAATTGCCAAATATTCTTCCAGTTTGGAATTGTCAACTGTTAATTGAGACAGCCTTTGACCTTTGCCCACAGGGTATGGAGCTTTCTTCTGGAGTTTGCACTGTCAAGCCACTTGCCCATTGTACACACTGCAAGGTCCTAGGTGCCTTCCGGGAGAGTTCAAATTGATTGGCAGAGCGTCTTACGCAACATTGCGATCTCACAGGGACACATGTGATCAGCGCTGCACAGAAATACTTCTCCTGACCAAACCAAGTCTTGTGGAGCCACTTGCAGAATCCCAGCGTGTTAACAGTGCAGCCCAGGCTCAAAGCAGGGTTGTCTGGAGGGCTGCGTGACTCAGTGCTTGGAGCCAAAGAATCTAACATTCTTAAATTCAGAAAGTGTTGTGCTTTCCCAAATACAGTACTTTTCCCCCCAGAAAGTGAGAATGTTGTTGTTGTTTTTTAATGGATTATTTAAAATTAGATGGAAGTGCTTAGGTTCCATATTCTGGATTCTTTTAAGAAACAGGTGAAGGAAATGTAGTTTCTGTGAGCTACTAAAGTACCAAACTAGCATTCTTGCCTGTACCCTTCCTTAAATTCTTACAGTACATATTCTTATGTTCTTACTGTATTATTGTGATTCAGTTGCATTATCAAAGAGAAGAATATTACATATGTGAGATCTAAACAGATAGGTGTTAACTTGTTTTTTTTTAACTAAAACTTATTATCTTAACTTATTGTCCACTGTTAACTTCTGATTGTGGCTCCCTGATGTGTAAATATGTGTAAATGTGAAGGTCGTTTTAAATCTGAACTCCAATCTCATCTGCTTTTCAGAGATTTATTTAATTGCTTCTGTATTTAATAGCTTCTTCACCTGAAAGGGTGGTTTCTTTAGAACATTATAAATAAGCATGCTGCATGTTACCTTGGAAACTATACAGTAACTTCATCCTCATCCAAGGGAATGTTTTTAATAATCATACTGTAGTTGCAACTTCAGCTACATTTCCAAGTTGGAAGCGTTCCTACTGAAGGGGTTTCTTATTGTTTTCACAGACATCTCAGGTTCCAGTTCTGAGACTCCATGTGAGGTGGGTTTGGAGGAGGCAAACAGTTAAACAGAGCCCTTGCGAATCATGAGTTTTTAAGGTGGTGTTTAAATAGAACCTACTCTGCAATGCACAATAAGTGGCAGATTTAAAGAGGAAATGGCCCCAATTAGAAGAGCATCGCATAGCAATTCACTGCTTTCTCATTTATTAAGGCTGTTTGCTCAGGGACTCCAGTCAGCCAAGAGGGAATGAGAAGTCAGCCAGATCCTCCTGAAATGTTAAGAGGCCCGTACACCAATCAAGCAACAGGAAACAGGAGAGCTTGTAACAAGAAATGCATTTCTGCTCAAGTTGTTCTTGCACAGTACATTGTTGACTCCAGCAAGCATTCTGTTACACATGAAGCTCGGCTCCCGTACAATTCTGAACCTCGTGATGAATGCAGAGCTGGTGCGAGTGCCTACAACCTTGGTGGGTGGGCTCATTTGTGTCGAATGTTCGTTAGTTATTTTTAGACGAGCGTTGCATATGCAGCTGATGCATGAGCCGGATAATGCGCGCTGGAGCGCGGGGAAATAAATCGAGTGTGTGTGTGTCTGTCGGAGGTGGTGGGGGGAGGTTGGCTACCTTCTCGAGGAACGTCAGTGCCGCTTCCTGTGCCAGCTTTTGCGCTGTGAGCAGAGCCTGCAGGAAAGCTGCAATTTTGGCAAGCCTGTTAAGTGTGGTCTTTCTAAGCTCCAGTGTTTCTATTGGTTCGAGATCTCTGGCGCACGTGGTGCTGAACGGGAAACAGAGACCCACACGGGGTGAGATGGGAACAGGAAATTGTTATCCGTCTCTATTAACTGTAATAAACAAAAAGCAGCAGTGTGGGCCGGTGGATCCGGGATCTTATGTTGGGGGAACGAATTTTTCCCTGTTTTACGTCACCGTCTTTTAATGCCTTTTGAGTATTGACACCGTTCATTTAGCTGGTTCCTCAAAATGAGTGCGTACTACCAGAACACCACTCCCTGCTTCACCTTCTTAATGGCCTCGGGGAACTGGTGGGTTGGAGTGCAGGAGCTCAAACAAACAGCATATGTGAAAAGAGAAAAAAAGATGGCATAGGATTCTATAAAAAACTAAGTGTCCTGCTGTATCCTTTGAAAAGTTTGAAAACCACTAATCCCCCTTGAACAGACTGTGATCCAGCATGGATGTACAGGCATGACTGAAAATTGTAGCAGAAAAATTCCTTGCAACTCTATAAGTCTTTGCCATTACCTGCATGACGAAGAGACAACTGATCCCTGCTTGGAAAATATCATCAGCATTCATTCATTATAGAACTTGCCTGTTAATGCCACTGATAGGCATCGTCTTTCTCTGTCTCCATTTTTTATTAATTTTGCGATATGAATTCCATTCCTCTCTTACTGTAAATACCTCCTTACGGCACAACTGGATGCTAACCGATCTTCGCTTAATATACCAATTAAAAATTCCAGTCAACAAAACTTTAGCGGCGTTAATGAGAATCACTTTCAAATGCAGGCTAATTAACCATGATTAGGATCTTTTTAATTGTCCAAAATCTACTTCAGGAACAGGAAAGGAGAGGAAACAGGCGATCGATGGAAAAAGAAGCTATGCAGAACCAGCCTGTTGTTTAGATTTTTGTAGTCTTGTCACCTTGTAGCAGGATTTGCAGTTGCAGTATTCTAGTTGGCTAGAATAAGGCTGGGATAAGGCAGCTCTTAGGTTGCACTGCTGGAAAAGATGTGTAGTATGGGTCACTACAGAACCTTTTGCAATGCATTATTCTTTACGAAGAAATATAATCTTCCACCTGGTCACTGTCTCTCTAATTGACGGCGTTTATGATATTTTATTTCACAATGTCAATACAGAACGCATTCCAGAAAAAGACACCTTCCCCAGTAGGATAGCCATCTGTTCCACTTACATGGTCTTAGATAGGGTATTGCCAAAATATAGTATTTATTTTTAAAAATAATTGTTAAAATATCAGAATTGTTGGAATATTCAAACAAATGAGTCAGTACAACTGTGTGCTGTGGAGCAATGTACATATACAGTACAAATTGAGACATGGGGAAAACATGCACATTAACAATAAGAGTGCATACTTCAGGGTTTGACTTTAGCTCAGGGACCACTGGTTGTGTCCATGCTGGCTAGCATATGTGAAAGGACGTGCTACACACCTGCATGAAGCCGATTAGGTTTAGTTACTGTCCCTAGAAATGTGTTTTGTAATGGACCTGTTTCTCCATCCATCATCAAAAAGCTTTGCAAAAAAAGCAAAAACATGAGAAACACATGCGTATGCATTTCAGCACAATAATCCATCTATCCATTTTCTAACCACTTCTTTCAGTTCAGGGTTGAGGGCAGTCTGACCCTATCCTGCAAGCATCACATACAAGGCAGGGTACACCCTGTGCAGGGCACCAATACTGTCCAACACAGGGTGCAAACGCACAGAGACAAGGAAGCCCATTAACCCGCCAGTTTGTCTTTAAACTGTGGTAGGAAAGTGGAGCACCCAGAGGAAACGCACGCAAACACAGGGAGAACATGCAAACTCCACGCAGACAGCACCCCAGAAATTGAACCCAGGGCCCCAATGGTACAAGACAGCAATGCTAAACCCTGCCCCACTGTACCACTCTCAAGCAGAATCCACACAATTAACCTACAAGTGAGGTTTTAGACAGGAGATGTTACAACAAGTGCCCCCCCCCAAGGAAATGAAGCAACACTGTAGGTGTTATGGACACCAGGGCCAGGGTGCAACAGTCCAGGGGGATTGTGTCCACCTCAGGCACAACACAGTGCCAGCCTGGAGGAACACTGTCTACTGAAGCCCACTGACCACAGACCGAGAGCAAGGGCTGCTGGGATGCCACTCTCACCAGCTTCAGAGGGGATTCCAGTGGCACGGGATGGCCCTGGATTTTGGTGGCTCACCCCTTCCTGCACTCCCATCTTTCTGGACCACCCTGGACTGTCATGCCCTAGCTCTTGGGGCTGTAGCGTCTACAGCACCTGGGGGAGGGCAGCACTGGTCGTAAAAGGAGATAACGAGCTGACTACCTGGCTAGGAGCTCATTCCACAGTCTATGGAGCAACAGAACAGAAATCCTGCCCTACCAGGGTCAGGATCTCGTTTCAGATACTGAAAGAAAATCAGAGTTTGTGTACAGGAGGCCTGTACAGAGATATAAGTTCACTGATGTCCAAATGGATTCCAACTGTTCATAATCTTGGAGGCCAACAGGAGTATCTGGAATTGTATTCCGTAATCCACAGGGACCCAGTGCAACAAAGTGAAAACAAGAGAGACGTATGCACGTACTGTATTTGACATTTAAGATCCAAGCAAACAGGCCATGAATGTACTGTGGCTCATCAAAATCAAGTGAACCAGCGAACGCAGTGTTACACCTGTTGCCTTCACTGCATCAGGTTGGAAGAGATGAATGTGAGCCATGTTATGGAAAAAGAGGACTTACTGTATGTAACTCTGCAAGCACGAAAAAAATGTCATTACTCCACAGGAAGGGGGCGTGGCGAAGGGATTTCAAGAATTGGACATTTGATTCACAGTCCCCTCACCCATCTAAGGTCTACATTGTTATCCACATAGTGTATGAATTTCAACTCAGACAGCTTAAGATGACTCATCAAGCTCAAGATGGGAAAATCCTACTTCCTGGAAGTTCAGTTTGGAATCTGTCTCATTTTGAGGTAACAGTGCCTCACTTTGCTAGCCATATGTTTTATTTCCATTCAGTACACTGATTGTGCAACTTGATTTCGATCACATGTTAATAACATACTGTGCAAGAACTTCAGTAGGCCTACAATATTATTTGGCAATATTATTTTGAACATATGCCTCTGTCATTCATTAAAGTGTACAAAATAAAC